GCCCCAAGAAAAGACTTCTAGTATTCTATGCCAACCCCTACAGGAATAAGGGTGAGAATTACCTAGGAGATGAAGAAAGAGATCATGCTAAGTATGAAAGGGAGTAGCGTGTCTCCGAGCTGGCCAGGTTGTATAGTAAACCCCAATCAACCATGGCTTCCCATTGTGTCCAAGAAACGGCAATCAAGGAAGCTGTTACTTGCCAAAGGTATTTTAACTGTGTCTTTCGAAACAGAGATCGCAAGTGATAAAGATGTTGAGAGACTGTTATTGGATGTGTATAAATGAAAAACAGATAGCAGGCATGCATCACTCAAGTGTCATAAGTAACAAGGCTAGGAAGTTGCACAGGATTTACTTAGAAAATGCCTGCAACTAGTGGTGATATGATGAATTAAGGCAGCAAAGGGTGTGGTTTTGGAGAGATTTTAAGAGCATAGTGGCATACATAGGTGATAAGGCATGGTGAGGCTGCCAGTCGGACCACACAGCAGCCTGAAAAATAGTGCAGGAATTCAAGGAGTACAATATACAGTGAAGGACTGAAACCTGAACAAGTAGTTAATTGTGACAAAAAACAGGCCTGTTTTTGTAAGAAAAATGCCCAAGCAGGACCTACATAACACAGGAGGAAAAGGCAACTCCCAGGACATCACCTATGAAAAACAAGCTTACTCTACTCATGACTGCCAATGCTAGTGGAGATTGCAAATTGAAGCCTTTATTTGTGTATCACTCTGAAACTCCCAGAGCATTCAGGAAAAGAATATCCTCAAGGCAAATTGTGTGTGCTGTGGCGGCAAACAAAAAAGGCATGGGTCATCTAAGGGACTTTTTCTATACTGGTTAACACCATGCCATTTGCCCCCACTGTGAAACATTACCTAACTGAAAAGAAAAATTAGACCTTAAGTGGCCATCCTGTGTTTAGACAATGCCCTGTCATCCTACAGACTTGGCATGAGCGACTTTGTGGGGACATGAGCTTCAATTAAGTGAAGTTTTTGCCTCCTCAGACCACTCGTCTCCTGCATGCCCAGGACAAGCAGGTTTATTGCAAACATCAAGAAAACTGTACCACAAAAGCCTGATTGAAAGGTGCTTTTGTAGTGACCTCAGAAACTCAATTGACTCTAAGAGAGTTAGGAGAGAGCACTTTTTAATATCCCAATTGAGTGTAAAACCTTATAGGTTAAGGCGATGGGAGGTGAGTGACTAAGAGGACCTTGCAGAAACTCTGCTTGGAAGAACTGTGGCCACGAATGTGTAGACAAAAAGAATTATGAAGGCTTTGAAGGCTACCTGAGATCCTAATGCCATTGAGGAATCAGTTGTGGCATTGGGAAGTCCTTGGGGTTGAGGAGGTTAGTGGGGAGGATGTGGAAGAGTTGGTGGAGGAGGACAATGAAGAAACTAACACACTGATAAAGCTTCAAGATCACCATCAACAGCAAGAGGCCACAGCCTGAGAAATTGCTTCGGAGGAGGGAGAGAGAAATTGAAGGAAGTTGCCTACATCAAAGATTAAAGGAAATATAATCTTGATGCATGCAAAGTGGGGCTTGGAAGTGCAAACCTTCATGGATGGAGAATCACCCTCAGACAGCTATTGCAAGCCGTCTGGTGACAATTTGCACTGACAATGTGCGAACACTTTAGGAAAGTATAAGGACCGAGAGTACAGGCCACTATGGACAGATATGTTTGGTTGACGAAGTCCAGTGTCTGCTGAAGCAGGTCCTAGTGGCATTAAAAGAAGAAGGAAGCAACCCCGGAAAAGGCTTTGACACCTCAAGTCCTAATGGAAGGGGATTCCCTTCTAAACACTAAAACCATCCTGTCCTCACCCTCCTCCCATCACCATCAAGCATCACCACACATCTCCAGTAAAGGTGTGTCAATGTAACTCTGCATATTTCGTAAGTTTGTGTGATTAAATTAATATTTTCATGTGGAAAATTTTTATTTTTTCATACTTATGGGCGTCTTGCAACGGATAATTTGATTTCCCAATATTTACTTTATGGGGAAAATTAATTTGCATAACGATAAATTTCGCAACATTGAGCTCTCAGGAACGGATTAATAGCGTATGCGGGGGTCCCCTGTATTGCCTCTTTTTGCTGCTCTGTTATTCTTTTGTTTGCCTGTAAAGGGAGGGCGCCTGTCTCTTTCTATTTTAAACATCTACACCTCCTTTTCTTAAAGTAATAACCTTGAAGCATACATCTAAGTGCCACCGAGTTAATCTGTTCTAGGCATAAGTTGGGGTCTGTGTTGCTTAGGTCATCTTCCCAGCTTATATTGGTTAGGGCTTGTTTACTTGGTCCCACTTGATGTTCTTGTTATTGAATTAAATTGGGAAGCTCCCTCGTGACTACAATCTCATTATGTCTGTCTGGAGCTCCGCGCATACAAGTACTGAACACCTCAATATGTTGTAATCTGAGTATATTGTGTTTGATATGGTGACAATTTCGCAATCAGTTCATCATTGTAAGTGAAGATTAGTCCTATGTATCTCCATTCTAGTAGCTCTATAATATGCTGGTTTAAGTTGAATTTTGTGCAGAATTTAAAACTCGTGTGTGTGTGAGTTTTCGTCAGAGCTGCCTCCTGGTTATTATCGACTGCCAACAACATTATTTTGCTATATTCCTCCATTTTAAGGTGCCTTAAGTTGAAATCACCCCAGGAGTAAGATTTGGTGACAGGAGCTGGCCGATTACTTTCGCAGACACAGTGGTCAATTTTTAACAGCTGTCCTGGAATTTGCTGGACATT